TGGCCAACTAAGAATGCGTACTGTATCTGAGAATCTCTCCATCGTAGAGGCTTGTGGTAAAAAATTTATTACTAAAAAGGCCACGAGCAAAATCTGGAAAATATTTTTAAGTTTCTGAAATGACCGCTAGGGGGCCTAACTGCAATCTGGAATCTAAAAAAGTGATGTTTTTGTGAATTCCGCTATATTAACCTAACAAAAAATGTCCGGTCTTTGAAGTTGACGATAATCTGAACAATTTTTGTTTGACAGTTTTTCCTGTATCCTGTATTCAAAGGTTTCCGTAAAGAACACCCTGTATCTTCGAAAGAGGGTATAAAATTTTCTTTGGCCTAAACAAAAAAGGTTCAGATTATCGTCACCTTCAAAGACCGACCATTTTTGTGTTAGGTTAATATAGCGGAATTAACAGAAAAATCACTTTTTTAGATTCCAGATTGCAGTTACGCCCCCTAGCGGCCATTGAAACTTAAAAATATTTTCCATGTTTTTCTCGTGGCCGTTTTAGTAATAAATTTTTTTACCGCAAGCCTTTACGATGGACAGGTTCCCAGATACAGTACCTCGCATTCTTATTTGGCCACCCTGTACATAAATTATGCTATCATATTTTCATCTTTTTAGTCCATGCGAAGAACAAGACATAAGTTTTGCAGTAGGCGGCTATCTACGGCTGTTTTTATACTAGACGACGTATAGGTAACGAACATTGATTATTTTTTTCCTCCATAATGGCCACAAATACACAGTACACACATAAAAATTACAAGAGACCGAAAAGTTTCTAAACCAACCAGAAAATGAATCACTTATTTTACCGACCCCTAAAGTGACTCAAAATCATTCCTAGATATTTTGAGTGTTTAACGCGTAAAAAATCGAAACATTCAAAAAATTCGGGAAACAAAGAAGTCGCGAAAAATTTCGAAATTATGGTTGACAATTACAAATTACAAAAAATTACTTAAAATGCAGAAAAATTGAACATTGTAAAACAACCCGAAAACGTAAAAAATGTCGAAAATAAAAAAAAATCGAATGTTGAAACTTTAAAAAATTTCAAATTCCGAAAATTAAAAAAACTAAAAATTCAAGAAAATTTCTGATATTCATAAAACCATTGAAATCGCTATTTAGCAAGCATCATAAAAAAATTCATTTTTTAAAAATGTTAATTTGTCCATTTGTCGAATTTTAATTAGATGTATGTGGCAGGTGGGGCATGATTCAACAAATATGTGTAACGAACTGTTATTTTGGAGAAGGGAGGGGGGAGTATTTACGTACGTCATGGGTAAAAAATTCCTAGTCACTAGACTAGACTGACAGGGTAAGTTATAAATACATTTGTGAGCGTGCCACATATTTATTCTCTAAATGAAGCTAGAAATTATTAGGTACTGACAAATGAGAACAAATAGACTAAATAAATGAGGCACCCTGTATTGTAGATTAGGTACAAACCTGTATGTACAGTGTAGAGGTTATGTTTTTTCTCTAAAATTTGTACTCAAAAAGGATTAGTCCTTTAAATTTGTTAGTGATCGTTAACTTCATTTTAAAACGAGGCTACATTTGAAAAATTTAGGCACAGGAGATTTTGACATTCTCATGTAAGGTATCATAATGTACAGGGTGAGCACAACATACCAGAACGGGACCTTATTGATCCACCTTAAACTAAATGAAGTAATAAAGATGGTTTCATACCGTTCTCCCGGAAGACCTTCGGAGTACTTGTTATGGAGACAGGAGCTAAGACACTGCAACACCGATAGCGATGTAAAGTTTTCCGATGCGATCAATTCCAGACCAGCCTGTTGTCTATGCTTTTCCTTCTGTATAAGACTGAACAGCTCGGGATCAGAATCCCATAAGTTTGATGTTAACAATGTCGAATTTCCAGTTCCACTCATGGTCGCTGCGGTCTGATGAACTAGTTGTTTCACGTTCTAGAGATGAATGCAAGGTGCTTTGTTAATCTCTAGCCAAACTGAAACCCCCCTACCGACCGACTAGTGATAATAATACGCCTTAAAAGATGAAATACGAATATAAATGAGGCAATAATTGCATGTATAAACAAAAAAGATTATAAAGAGGGATAACCTCTACAAACGTAAGCACTTGGGCAAATTTCATTAAGTTTTATTATTTACGCTCGTAGAACGGGTTTCCACGTTTTTATATCAGGAATTTTCCATTCAAATAAACAAACGTACCTTCAAATTTAAGATCCGATTGGCGGTTATACAAGCAGCACGTGTGAACATTTGAAAAAGGCGGTAATTTCGAATTTGTGCCGGAGACAATTTCGTAACCTACCTTTGCACGGGGACTGTATAAACCAAAAAGAACATGAATTTAGTTGACTCGCGACCTTTCACCTTGCCCAATAAGATAAGAATGGATGCGATAAACATACTGATTTCTAACTTGGCAATTATAATAATATGGTTAGTAATAAGATAGTCTCTGTGAGGTATATTGCGCCACAGTAGTATTGATTTGAAACTAAAAAACAAACTACGATTGGCGCTGTTGCGAACGAACGGATCCATGTATATGAATTATAGTTGTATAGTTGTCTGACGGTTTAGCTCACGGAAACGATAATTAAGTTCAGTAGCCTTTGCAAGTCCACTCATTTTTCTCCATAGGCATATGAGAAAAAGTCGCATTTTCTTCCATCGAATGAGCTCAACTATAGTAGTGTCATTGAAGTTATAAATTCAATGATTATATTATGGGGTACGGTGGATTAACTACCAAAACATATCAAAGACTATAGTCTTGCCTCTGAAATTCATAGAAAGTTATGCCTTGTCTATTAGATCGATTGGAAAATCAGTATTTGTGAAAAATTATATATAGCCTGTAGAGCTGACAGACGAAGATGAATTTGCAAGCTTATGGTTCAAAAATTACATATAGGTTTTGTACAACAGATGTTAAAATGTTATATTTGTACACCAATGTGTATGCGAAAAACGCCTAAACTGTACAAATCGCACTGATATGCCTATGTAACGCTCGTACTAATAATTCTGACTTTATCTTCAAATGGGTAAATGACATATAAAAGGAAAATATTACTTTCTTGCAAATTTAGTGCCGACGACTAGCTCAATTTAAGAAATTAACTACAAATTCTTTGACCTAACCAAACTAACTATAATTGAATCTTAATTTTTTATTCAATGATCACACATACTACCTACATTGGTTTCCATAGCAGATGCAAATTATCTACTGAACTAAAAACAGTATATTTCTGTGAGATTATTATATACAGTGATATTCATGCAGAAGTAGACAGAAGGATGTCCTTCAGGAATTTCCTATGTCTAATTGTCTACTTTTACATGATAAAGTCTCCTGAAAGACGCCTAATTTTATGCAACCAAAGTAACTTCTTGAAACCTTAGATCATTATGATCTAAGCTTGAAACAAATAAAGATCTGGCTGTCATATTAATTATTAATTTGAATATTGTTACTTTAGCTTCACAGAAAATAAATCTCTTAAGCCCCTTTAACTGTTATCGGCATTATACCGAATACGAAATCTTAATTATGTAAGAGTAATTTGAGGATTACACACATTCGTCATACAGATAATACAACACACATAACACCAATTGGAAATATCAACTTTTTCTTTAGTTGAATACATCGCACAATATATCGTCAAAGCCATAATATTTAAATTAATTAATATGACAGGCACATCCTCATTTGTTGTAAGTAGTTACTTTGGTTGCATAAAATTAGGCGTCTTTCGGGAGACTTGAATCATTGTATATTACTATACAATGCTTTTATCATGTAAAAGTAGACATAGGAAATTCCTATAGGAAATCCATATGCCTACTTCTACATGAATCTCACTGTATAATACTGTAGTGTACTCAGAGAGTGTACTTAACACTCAGGTTCTACGCTAACTTCACACCACAGTATATATACTGTGTTCACACTACAAGAACACGGGAATAAAGTCAACCCGGCAACGTTTAAAAATTGCCACCCGAATGACTATTCCCTCCAAAACTAAACAAGATTCCGCTTAAATTTGAAAAGTGGCATGTGATAAAACATCTAAGGCAGGGCCGGCCCTTACGTTAGTTATAAACAACGCTTTGACCTGAAGCACAGTAGGGAAGGAACGTTAAATAAAACACTGAAATTGTGGAAAGTTTGTTTAATAATGATCGTAATTATTAAGAGTGTGAAAGCCCGGAAATTTAGTTGATGTACATTAATACCTATAAACAAAGCAAGCAAAGCCAAAAGGTGCCGTACTCTCGCAAAAGTAACTGCTAAGGGTAAAAAGAGTACGACGTAAGAAAAACCTCGCAGTTTGATTAATACAGTCCAAAAGTTAATTAACAAAACATTTTGTAAAAGTTTCAGCAATAGTTAACAAGGATAGTACATGCATATATACAATGTTGGATACGCTCAAGGTTAAAAGCAAGTTTTTGGGAACAATGAGTCAGGTAGTAGCAGGTACCTAAATTCTGAGAAAGGGTTAAGAGTACAAAGTGTGACTCATCTTTGGTGCAATAAAGTCCTGTTGTTAAAAGCAAGATGGAAAATTACATGGCCTTGTAGGCAAATTTAACTAAACTCATTTTACATAGATTCTAAACTGAAGAGCGTAATCTCGCCCCCGCAAGATAGGTAGCGGGTAGCGTCGCCCCTCGTCCGGGGTTTCGAGCCTACAGTTGAAAGTCGAAGACAATCACCGAATTAGGTGTCATAGCTCAATTTTGACTACAGTTTTTAACACCCCCGTGACTGTTTCATTCACAGAGAAAATTGTTAGTTACAAACAACAAGTCAGTACATACATCAAACGAATCGGTAATTTCCACATATTAAGATAAAATGATTAAGACTTACATGAATGTTACTTCACAGACAAGATCAAGTAATCAACATCAATAAACATAAATTAAGGAAGCATGACCCCAAAAACGTAAACAGTTACAAACAATAGCATAACGGTATTTAACATGTTATTCTGCATTGGGGTTAAATCAAGCAGATTTCAAAAACCAAGATTGAAACACACAAAAAATATAAAATGCGGCATACAAAACACAAATACGATATAAGAAATGCAAAAATTACCTACTACCTGTATTAAATAACACAAAATAACAACAAACATTTATGGAGCGACGCGTTCACTACCGCTACATATTCGAGACAAGATGATCAACGTAACTCCCGTTCGTGCTTTTTAGATGGCGCAGGCAGTTTTTTCCCACCTAAAGTCACCAGTAAGTAGTAACTTTATTTCTCACCTAAAAATTGCATGGTTGCCAACTCTCAAAAATGTATGTATCGTTGCAAGTTGTATATACAGGGTGGAACCTTTCACATTTAAAGCGTATTTAGTTGCTTCGAAGTAAATAAAATGATAGGTATTAGCATTGATTATAGGTACTTGTGTGTATAATCAATGCTATTAGCTTTGTTTATTCACGTAAGGTATTAGTTTGTCGCATCATGAACAAATTACCTACACTAAAGTGATTTTAGTTTATGGTCGTATTTATAAGAGTATAGGACAGACTGACAGCTCAGTTAGTAAAACCGTTTTATACATATATGTAAAACCGTCATCTCGCGATGTTTGATGTCGCTGGTCCGCACGCGCCCTTTTTAGCGTAATTACAACGAAGTTGAGGTAAAGCTTATGTGCTCGTGTTTCCATCTGTCCGTCCGTCCCTCCGTTCGTCCGTCCGTTCCATCGAGATCTTGGCCCCTGGGCCACCTAGAGACTTCGGGTTTTCGCTAATGGGGGTTTACAGTATAGTTGAATTCCGCAGTTCTAATTTAATAAGCGTGTACCTGAAACCATAAAACATTTTTTTGGACAGTAAAAGTTTATTTAAAAGTAGAGGCTGATTAGCAAAAAAAATAATGAACATGTGCGGTTTTAAAGGTTTATTCAAAACGATATGATTGTGGCGGGCTCTGTGACGTAATAAGCCCGACCAATCAGCTCCTAGAACCATTCAGAAGACATAACGACTTGGCAATATTGCAGGAGAATGGCATTTATAACTTGCGTCATCTGTCACAGGCACTTGTCACTTTCGTGCTAGATGCAGTTAAACATCCCTCTCAAAACGTCAAATGTGACAAACGTCAGACCCTCGCGTAAGGTTGCCAGCTCACTTCTACGTGATTGGTTGTAGGTCTGTGACGTATTTAGTCTGAAGCGTTTCAAATTCGGACTAAAAACACAGCTTTTCAATAATTTATTTTGGGTTTATTTTACTCGCAAATAAAAATTGAGGACACACGGGGTATTTTTATTTTTAATGTACTTTGTGGATCAGAAATAAAAAATGAAGGCGAGATGACCCCATTGAAAACTGTTATGGTCTATATTTGCCCATTTCGATCAGTTTCATTTAACTCCATATTTTGCGCAGACTGCGCAATGCCAACTTCATATTTATGGAGATATTTCTTTGAAAATTTAACCACAGACGCTTCTAGTAAAGGTAAACATTTCGCACATAGTAAAAATTATGTGGGCATGCGCAGTGATTGCGCAATGCTAACTTTCTTATTTATGGAGATATTTCTTTGAAATTTTAACCACAGATGCTTCTAGTAAAGGCAAACATTTCGCACATGGTAAAAATTATGTGGGCATGCGCAGTGACTGCACAGACTGCTCATCGCCAACTTTCTTATGTATGGTAATATTTCTTTGAAACTTTATTTGACCTATTTAACTCCTCTCTTTCTCGGGACGTGGACGTGCTTCAATATGCATGTGTGCTTTCGATGACAATGCGTCATTTCAATACTTAGTGTTACGCGGCAGTACCCACGAGTGGATTTTGAAACATTTTTTTCTTATAATACTGTGGTGACATACCCCTACAGCTAGGCAACACACTTCACAATTGAAAGAATCACAGTATGGGAAACACGAACTTATAAGTTCGTGATGAGAAAACATATGAAAGTTCTGCGCAGCCGTCGGGGAACAGGGATTTTTCGCCACGAAGCTTGGAAAGAAAAATGTCGCGTAGGTTATTAAGATTTCCGATGGCGAGTAATGGCACGCGTTTCCGATTTCGCAATGTTTATTAATCGGTAGAGCAAAGCGATGGAAACTATAGCGGAGTAGATGCGGTGTCCGTCTGTCTGTAAGTCCGTGAACATAATAAATGAAATCGCTTGGGCCGATTCGGTTCAAAGTTTGCACAGTTAACCTACCACATGTAACAAGCCTATTGAACATCGATCAAATCCAATGACCCCATGCGGTCACACCGAGGGGCTCTGCCGTTTTTTATATCCTCTTTTGTTTATTGTTCTGCGTTTACAATTGTAGGTAGTAACCA